TTTCTAATATAATTTTGATAATTTTTTCTAACTAGAAATGCAATTATTTCTCAAAAATCTTGTAAACTTGCAAATTTATTACATAAGTTTTTATTATGATTATAAAAATAAAAAATAAATTTTATTATTTTTTAATATTAAACAAATTGATTATATTTATTTTTGTGTTAATGAATAATGTGTTTAGATTATTATATTTGACTAATTTTGTTCGTAGATAATTTTAAGGATTTAAAGACATAATAATCTAATATATAAATCCATGTTCTCGTGATCTGCATTTTGTAGACTACATGGCTCAAAGTATATGTGTCGTGTATAGTGTTTGTCTGTATTCGTGTTACATAACTACCAAATCTTCGTCCTTCAATTTCAGATTAATAAGAATTTAGTAACCTTTAACCTTTGATTTCTGAACAGGTATACCAATTGTGGGATAACTTGTAGTATAACTTCAGTAGTTGAAGCAAATGCAGTCTAAAATAGAGATCTAAGTGCAATCAGAAAAGTATACGAAGGATTACAGAACCATCATACTCTATAGTTATATTACTAAAATCATTAAATTTTTCATTTGCTAAAACGTCTGAGATGGGATGTTTTCAATAAACAGTTCTATAACCAAATACACTTCTATAAACCAAAAAGTATACAGTTTTATCCAGTAAAGTTTAATACCTATTCATGCACTATTTTAATTTTTATCCTCAAAGTTCTAATAAAATTATTTATTCTTAATATAAATTATGTATTCCCACATTAGGTTTGAGACACGGATAATACCATATCATTGATCTGACCAGTGAAGCATCATATCTTTTTAGGATTCCCCTTATCTTGAACACCAATTTAAAAGAATTTTCAGCTGTCCCTCCCAAGTTTCATATTCCAAAATAAAGTAACTTTATATCTGCACAATCTTCAACCACTATATTTTTTAACTCACAAGTGAATGTGCCAACTAATAACTTATGCTACATTTTCCAAATAATGACAACATTGTCACTAATCTAGGATCTTGCCCCACCCAAATATTCCAAACACTTTACCTGGTCTTACTTTCATAAAATCAATCAAAGGAAATCTAACAAAAGTCGATGTAACCAATAATTACCACAAAACCACTTGCTACTCCAAAAAAAACCCCACCTTACCTCATTTCCACTCTTGAAACTGGTTTAACTTGTCTATATCAATTCAAGGTGTTTGATAAGGTTTGTATTCTATTCCATTAAAAGAGAAAAGATATCTTTCACTTACATTTTTTAATGCGTTACTTTTTTCATCAGACTAAGTTAAATATAGATTTATAATCCATTTTTTAATAGAAATAATTTTTGTTTTCTTAATACCAATATGGATTCAAGAATTTAAACATCTAATAGCACAATTTGATGCACAAAATGTCTCCCTAGGTAGACAAGAAAAAAAGAAAGAGAAGATCTTATTGTGGAAACAGTCAAACTAGATAGAAAGGAACTTATATCTGTTTATGAAAACCCATACATTCATCAGACACACAACATTAAAGAGAATTTTCACCAAAACAAGTGGATCACAAAATACTCTCCTTTCCCTTCTCTACAATTTCACACATCCTTAGAAACTAAATTCCATCACTGGAATTGATCCACCAGCTGCCACTATCTGTTGCTCAAGCTGCAAAAGAAAAAGAACACAAATTACAAATCTGAATTAGACAGAATGTTCTTCAGCTAGAGTTTTTGTTACCGTTACCCTGATCAATGTTTCAAGCTTATTCTTGACATGACAGTACTCTTGCTTTACTTGTTGCAGACAACTGAGGCACCTGCAGCAATTATAATATATAAAATTGTGACAAGAGATAGAAATTTTGCTTTCTTGATGTTTACTCTTCACGAGTCTAAAAATTTCAGAAATGAAAAAGTTGTACAAAGATAAATAACTTACGCGTCTATGTTCTGTTCCTCACAGAAGTTGCGGAAAGCAATGCAACAATTCTTTACCCTCTGAGCGCCTATGCTGTGGCCAGACAGAAAATTTGTCTCAGCCAAAGTTTATAACAGAAACGAATTGTCACCACCTCTTTTTTCTACTAAGGCTAATATCTAAAATCCATAGTCTGTTAGTATGTTACTCGAATTCTTCATGAATCAACAAGAACACTGATATTGCAAAACAAAGAAGACAATTTAATTGCTCAAACAGTTTTCTTTTTGTTCAGATTCTTACGGTTGGGTCCATGGAAAAGTGATAATACCTTGAGCTGCTACCCTTCAGCTGGTGAACATGAGCATCAACTTTTTTGAAGTCAATAGTTTTCTGTTCTCTGCAAAAGAAGGTGGATGATCATTCAGTTTTCCTAAGGCACTAAGGGGAGGGTTAGAAGGTAGCAAACTTACAGAGAAAAGGTAAGGTCATTGAGAAGCCTCTCAGAATCTTCAAAGAAAAGAGACACAACTTCAACTACAAAGTCCGGGTTGTTCTCATCTTGTAGCTGCTGAAGTTGTAGAAATTGACCATCCAAGAAGCCCTTCTCTCACCACATGTAAGAAAACAAGAGCCACAAAATCAGCTACTGAAAACAACCACAGAATTAATTGTGAATTTATTGCACACACTGTTTATCTGCCTTACCTCCAAGAATAAGGATTTGGTGTAGTCCAAGTACTGCCTCTGCATCTGATCCACCTCCATGTTTTGCCTTTGGCCCTCGCACAACACAAGCTACTACTTTTTGTTATGTTATAAGATACTACTTATTGTTACTGCTCAATATAAGAGAAGTGTACACGAATAAATAATGCAGAAATTGAAAGAGATTTTTGAGAAATAGTGGTGCAAATCTAAGGTCTAGTTGCTGTTAGTGCACGTCTACCATCTCTTTCTGCTTGGCCCGTATAGTCTTTTATTCCTTCCAAGTCTTTTGCTTTCTTGCAGAATCAACGACCCCACCACCTTTTATCTCTGTATATCATTTCTATCCGTAATCTTTCATAGTTCTGATTTCATCATATTCGTATTTTACAATAATTAATAAATCAGACAATTTGGATTTTGATGATTTATCAGAATTAAGACAAATTTCAAGACTTGACAAACACATACAAGGATATAAAGTTCTAACTTCTTGATGGAATAAGTTCATCCAAACTTTATGACTCAAGAAAGATGAAGACTTCCAGATGGATTGGTGGTTAGGGAAGCTTCACGGTGATAAGAATATTGTGCACATAGTGGGTTTGATTTGGTGAGATGGTGGTGTTGAGAATTCAAGTATAAGTATAAGTTTCATATTGGATAAAAATGTGAAAATAGAACCGTGTATAAAGATGAAAACACATTAATATTTTATCTTAAGGTTTTGGAGGAAGAACGGTCTCGATCCTTATGTGATTGGAGTCCATCCTTAACCCAATCTAACCAAAACTTATGCTACTAGATATGGGTTTGGGCTTGGGCCCACCTTTCATATCATAGTCAGTTACTCATGTCTTGGAGGGGCATCTCAAGGTAATGTATCTTTAAAGCGGGAAAGAGTAACTGGTACATTTTTTGCAAACTGTTTATAATTCAGAAATTTGTACAAACTTCATGTTCCTAATTGTGAATTTATAGCAAACTATTTACTCTAAAATACATGAAGTTTTTCTAAAAGTCTTCATTAAAGTAATGGTAAGTTATGCATTAATGCACACAAAAGTACATGGAAATGATTGCCTTCTCATGTAGCTTACACTAAATTGAACATCACCATTATCGGTAACATTGTATCTATGAACTGCGTCAACAATCAACTTATTGTCGGCATTCAAAGCTTGGCCACATATCGTGCCAGCAAAACAAAATAACAGCATGATGAAAAGCTGTTTCACCATTCAGCCTTTTACCTTTTCATGCTTTATTACAGCAGAAGAATTTTGTTCACCATGCACAGAAGAATTTGATTACAGTAGAGACTCTATATACACAGCCACCTGCAATCTATATGGACTGAAACAGGATCGCCTCTGTGACAAGAGTGTAACTAGATTCTCTTTGTAGACAGCCACCTCGGATGTATATGAACTGCTCCAATATCTCTGCTCTTGCACCTTTCCCTTGTCACTACATTTTGCCAATCCAGTACTCCCATCTATCCCAACAATATCATTACATTTTGTAGAGCAAATTGGAGAGAAGTATTTAGTGGGAATGTCATCAACAGACACAACAATAGTCTTAGTCCAAGATGAGTGATCTTTGTATTCTTCCATCACCCATAATTCTGCTGGAGAGCAACACCCTACAACACATAGACTGGGAATTTTTCCAAGTACCACCAAATCAAAAGTGTTATAGTCCCACTCAAAGTCACGTGGAAGAGATATCTCTGAAAAACTCCTTTTTCTTAAATCAAAGACAACAATAACATTCTTTCCTAAATCATAACGATCAACCAGCCAATGAAGAGCACCGTTGAAGAGCAACCCAACTTTGATATCATTAAAGCAGTTCAAATACGAGAAATTAATGCCCTCAATCTCTTTCCACGCATTAGCTCTTACAGAGAA